AGTAAAGATATTGACTTTAAACTGACTTTAAAAAAAAAAGATATTTATTTGATGTTAATATTGCTTGCAATTTTCATACATCATTTATCCTTTTGAGTTTTGATTTAAAAATGTTTTAATTGCATATTTTATATAATCTGTACTTTTTTTTATTTATTTCCTTTTAATATTTTAAAAATGAATATAACATGTTGGTTTTAAATTCATTTCTTTTGTTTTCTTTTCACAAGAGCATAGAAATCGGTCCCAGTTATCATTTCAGATAACACTACAGGAATATCAGAAAACTTGAAGATTTCAATTTTTGAACTGATTTCCTCAATTTGTGCTTAACAAAAGTTAGGAGAGTTCTACAGGAACCCTCCTCTCCAAAAAATAATCATGTTGTTTTCAATTTTCTTTTCTGTATTACTATTTGCTAAATTTTAAGAGTGGAACTGTTTGCTGTATAAAATAATCCCAAATATATCCTCCTTCTTCTTTGTGCTTTGTTAATTTTATTAATTTTAATTATATATATATATATATATATATATATATATATATATTATTTATTTTAGGATATTAAAACATGTTAAAAATCACTACATAATGGCAATTATGTTTAAACATCATAAAAGTGTCTCCTCAGGTGATTAAACTATCGCCCAAGGAGACACATTTTATGGTGTTGAAACCTAATTGCTATTATGTAATGATTTTTAACATGTTTTAATATCCTAAAATAAATAGGATATATATATATATTAGAATTAAAAAATGGTAAAAGGTTTGTCACTTAGCCATTACCTTCAGCATTCTAACTCCATTATTTCTTAGAGGGACATGTCTGTCCATTCATCAGTGGGTATCAGCAATTGACTCCTTACACTTCCCAATTTTTCTTTTTTATATGCACTTATCATTGTTCTCTCTCTTGTTCTTGTAACGGCATTCTCCCCGAGGTGGGTTGAGCCGGCTCCAATATTGGAGTTTCATGGGAATTTGGAATTCACAAGCGGTCCCCAACCCGCATGTATAGCATGAGATTTTTTATTATTGTGGTGAAGGTTGCGTGCAGGACCATCCACACTTTTTGAAGGGCTGATTACAGAGACCTGGTGCATTACGTGCCACAAGGTCCCCTAACAACCCTCTGCAGGTTTTGAATTCAGAGTTTTCCTTCTCCTAGATCAGTTGCCATCCAAGGCTATGGAACCCAGTCTGTCCTACTATTTACCCATAGCTGGAGGGAGAAGAAGAGGATTCACACCTTTCTCAAGGGTATTAGCACGTAAGTGAATGTAATGGATTCGACTGGAATTTGAACTCGGCTCTCCGATTCCTCAATCCAAGCCGCTATCCATTACTCCTCTACTTATCATTGGTGCAAGTTTATATATATATACACATACACAATATGATAAAAATATAGTTTTAAGTGGCTTAAAGGGCTTAATATCAGGGATAGATCACATGTCATTATAAAAGTGGAAACTGAGGTCAACACTCAAGCCACTGTAAAATCAGAAGATAATGAAGAAAAAATATGCATAGGAATAACTGAAAGACCATAGAAAAGAGAAACTATGTATACAAAACTTCCTTTACATATAGTAAATACACAATGCTTTTTAAATATATATGGGAAATTAAAAACTAATCATGCCAAAAGTATCACTGAAAATAAGGAAAACAGCATTAGTCTACAGCAACAAATCCAAAAAATTTAAAAACTTTATCTGAAGGAGAAAATAACTATAATTACCTTCCCAGACCAACACAATAAAAGATCAGAATTCATCTCAAAATATATACATGAAAACAAATTTTTACAATTTTACTAAAAAAGATTAAAATAAATAGACAAAAAACTAAATAAGTAAACAAATTAATAAACTACAAATACACACATAAGGACAAATAAATGTAATTAGCAACAAAAAAATAATAAAGTAATAAATAATAAGTAAAAAAAAATTAACACTATAAAATAGCAACAAGTAACTACATTTGAATCCACAATTCTACTCAATAACCTCTAGAATAATTTGAAATATAGCCATTACTGCCCACCCAATAACCGTTAGAGTAATAAACCTTCCACCTATAATGCACCAATGACCAGCATATAAAAATAATCAAGCCAAAAACAGTTGGCCTGAAGATTGCATTTAAGCATGAAAAAGACTATTGCCTCTGGGTGTTGACCTCAATGTCAACTTATATTCAATAAAAAAATGTTCAGTTAACTTAATCTTTATGACTGGCTTTATAGTTTTGTGGATATACTAGTCATCAGTTTCAAAGGGTTAGATAAATCTATTCAATTATTACCAGATATTATATTTATACTTTGAATAAGAAATTCTAATCATAGACTTCAAATTTAAACATTGAATTTTGTACTATGTTAATCTATTAATAATTTGACATTTAAATATTCAGCAGTACAACACTAAATAAATTTAAGATTTAATTATTTTTTCTATATAATTTTGCCATTATAAAATATATTTTTGCAAAATTGTACATACATACATGTATATATATATGTGTACTAGCTTAAAAGCTGATCGGGCAGCATTTAAGCTAGCTCCTGCTGAGGGCTCTTGATTACACCTTTAGCTTGTTCAGAAGTTTGATAGTCTCTAAGCATATTTTCAGCATTGGAAGCCTTGGCTCTTTTGATTGCATTCTGGTCCTTTGTTGGTAGATATATCTTTTGCAAGGTATACTGCAACAATAACCTACAAAAGAACTCACAATTGACTGCTGCATTTAAGTATTGCATTAATATTTAAACTCATCTTTTAAAAGTTCAACGATAATTCTTCCGCTGCCACTTAATTTAATTATGATGTATGTAGGTCCTTACTTTCCATACAAACAATTATTTTTATTTCATGGGTGACTTTCACTGAATTTTGCAATTAATTTCAATTATTACCAAATTTATTTCCAAGTTATAAAAATTATCGTACAAAAAAAATCACATAAGAAAAAAAAAATTTCAAAATTTGAGAATCCAAAATTTCAGGATTGCAGGTCCAGATCCGGCTCCGAATATTTTTAATTTGCTCATGGAGTTGGCCTGATTCCAGTATATATGATATGATATGTTGTAGTACAGCCTCTAGGAGTAAAGTTGAAAAAGTGTGACACACTGACATTCACATTTATTTATATATATCTTTTCAACTTCAAAATGATAATAATCAACTTCAAAATGGACTTAGTTTCAGGTAAAAAAATTAATCAACTCCAAAATGAATTAATCAACTTTAAAATGGATCAATCAACTTTAAATTGGAAAACAACTTCAAAATGAGAAATAATCAACTTCAAATTGAGAATTAATAATACTAATACATTTAATATTTATTCTTTTATTTTTATTTAAAAGGGATATTTAAAAATATAAACATTCCTAAGAAATTTATTTAAAAGATTACATCATCTAAGTTAATTACAGCGGGAAGTAATCAGAGACGAAGTTAGTGCAAGTCTCAGGGGAAATATTAATTGCCTCGGAGATCATCGCTTCTAACTTGCTGAGGTGGAATTCTTTAGTAGTTAAAGATCCCTGGCCATCACCTCTTAAAATCCCAACAATTGAGAGTGCCATACTTCTTTTTTACGTCAACTTTAATGACTGACCAAACCTTTTCAATGGGATTTAACATCGGACTATAGGGGCAAGTCTGAAAATTTGTGTGTTGCCTAAATTCATCCCCTCCACATCTTCTTCAATTGAAGTATCTCAACGAGTGTTATCAATAACTAAGACAACTCCCCTTTCATAAATTTCATTTGTCTTTCTAAGGCACTCCCTGGTCCATTCTTTTGCATCATTGTAGATCTTTATATGAACCGTTTTCTGTTTACATGAAAAATTATTAGGTTCTTTGATAAGAATACTTTATTAAACCAAAGATCCGAGTTAACAGTAAATTGTAAACACTACCTTTTACCTTGCAATTCAGTTAAACTTGGTTTTTAACAATGTTTTTTTTTTTCTTAGATTTTAGTTCTGTGTTGACCTTTATATGGCTTATCTTTCTATTATAAAACTAATTTGGATTTAATATAATTTTGTATTAATCTCCTGGTAGTTTTAGTAACATATTATACGGTTGTATTGGTTTTTGGTTGGTATTTTTGACATTTTGCATTGATTGGTTATTGTTATTAACATCTTATATAAAGAATCTTCAATCAACAGTTGCATATTAATTTACCAAGTAATTCTATATGTTTAAATTAAACATTATATTTAAATTAAAGATATTTATTTATCAACTATAAAATATTTTTATGTAGGAAACTCACAAAGTATAGAATTTGTTTAACATTTTGTTAAATTACTACTCCATCTCATTTTTTCTTAGGAAATGACATTGCCTAGTGTGTAAAATATGTATCCTTTAACATCTGCTCCTGTTTAACGTCTGTTCTGCCATTGACTACCAATTTATGGGTCATGATGCATTTATGGAAAATTATTTCTTAATTTTTGCTTTTTCACTTAGATCAACCAATCGAATCGTTAAATTTAAACTGAGTAAAGCTCACAAACCTTATAACCCGCCCCCTTTTCTTTTTTCGAAAAAGAGGCATTCTGCTTTCGAATCTAAATATATAATTAACTCACCAGTAATTTACAATCACCCGATGAGATGCATTTGATATGTATCGAAATGTGACTACAATTGTGTAACGATTTTGACATGTTCTTGTAATATCCTTATATATATATATATATATATATATATATATATATATATATATATACAGAAACAATTTCAATTCTAGCCAAAAGTTAAAGGACACAATAAAATGAGTATAGATTATGACAATGAAAAGTTAGTTAGAAAAAAAAAAAAAGAAATTTTTTTATTTCATAGAGCTCAAGATCAAAAAATATAGATTGGTCAGTGGAAAGAAGAGTAATCTCCTTGTAATTTTTTTTTTCTCCATTGATTATCTTGTGTTCATGAGAAGGCTTTTCTTTCAAACTATTATTCCACTTTTTTGGTCAGTCCACACATCTCACTGGAAACATCCCACATTTTCTGAGCTAGTTCTGGATCCTTAGCAAAAGTGGAAAGCTGATCAGATATTGCCACATTTTCAAAATATTGTCCTGAGACTTTTTCTAGGGCAGGGTCTGCAGCCATGTAGATTGCAGTTTGGGCTGCATCTTTTGGAGTCCGTCCAATGATTGTTGATAACCATCCTAAGAACTTCATCAACTTGATAAGAATCTTCTTCTCACCATCTGGATACCAAATTCCAGTCGACACATATCCTGGGTGCATGCTGTTAGCAACAATGCCATGTTCCTTAAGTTGTTTAGCCAGGACATTTGTATGGAGGATTTGGGCAAGTTTACTTGTTGGATAACCAAAAAGTCCAGGATATTTCCTGTCAGATCCTGGTTTTGCTTCCCGGCTAAAGTCTGGAAGTCTGATCATGTTATGATGACTCAAGGAACTGACATTGATTATTCGACTTGGACTGGATTTTTTAAGCAAACCAAGGAGTAGATGAGTAAGAAGAAAATGTCCAAGATGGTTGGACACAAATGTGTATTCATAACCTTGTTTGGAGTTTTTGTCATATCCTAAACCAACACCGGCGTTGTTTATCAGAACATCAAGTCTTGGTTCAGATGCATAAATCTAAAAACAGAGAAATTGCAAGAAAACATTAAAGTAAATAAATTTAAAAAATAAAGGGAGAAAGAAGTTTACTGTATTTTTCAGAAAAATAAGACACACTCTCTTATTTTGAAGATAAAATTTTGGAAAGAAAAAAATTGAGTTCTAAACACAATAAAGGCTTTAAACACCAAAATAAAATATGGTGAAGAGAAAAAAAAATGGTCTACTTTTGTTTAATTCAGTTCAAAAAATAAACAATTCTCATCGCTTTCATTATCGTTTGGAAAGGAATTGGGCATTTCATTGAATCTAAAATTATGATGAAAGAGAATGTCATCCTCATTCATTGCATTTTTAAATGATTTAATCCCTATAACTCTCCTTAATTTCTGTCTCACAATTCTTGACCAACATGGACACCTGTCATTTTCTTCATTCACAACTTTCTTTCACATTCAGGGGCTCACCACAAAATCTTCCTGCTGCACACAGCTTTTCCATTCTTCCCACATTCAAGGGTTTGTTAACAGAAACATTGAAAAGTTATGGTTCACTTGTACTGCTAGGGTTAACAGTCAGTTATGGTGTATTATTATTTACACATTTGTGTGTGTGTGTATATATATATATATATATATATATATATATATATATATATATATATATATATATATATTTATTTATTTCAGCATGGTCACATCACTACTGAATGTGATACAAGATCAGTTTAACAGCAATATCATAAAAAATTGCTCATGCCCGCTTGGCACTTCCCACCTTTTGGGGAAGCCTCAAGTGCTGTGCACTGACTTCAGCCACCTCACAAAGGAGTGGTACTGCCCGGGGAGGATGGCTGCATGGGGGTTGAGCTTAATATTATTTTGAAATAAAAGTGCCAGGGATACACACACATATATATATATATATATATATATATATATATATAATAGCTGGCCACTCATATTCGAGGGTATCTGTCTATGAGAGCTTTGCTAACCAATCTCTGTTTCAAATGCTCACTCAGGCGCATTTGTGTTTGTTGAACACCCACAGAGCCCACCTGTGATTTATACTGCAACTATGCTGACCAGACCTTAGTTACAGTTTCTGGGAGAGAGCGTGTTATCTAGCGTGATCAACAATTTGAGCAAGGCCAGCACACTCAAACCCTTGGAAACGATGACTTATGACTTCATGCTAGCACAGCGATTGACGGTCGCCAAGAGTTCTGTCTACCCAGTTTCACTTACAAGGCTTAGATCAACTTGTGGTACGGTTTTCAGGCACTTTCCAAAGGTGCCACATGCTGGGGTCGCCCCCTCCAGACCAATATCATCAGGAAGCCTACTTCCTGACAAATCAACCATGGTGAGATTCAAACCTGGGTCTCATAGTGTGTCTCTCTCTCACTCACACACACACACACACAGAGAGAGAAGGTGCGATGAGTAAATTGTCGCCATTTTATATTTTTAATTTCACACATGCATTGTTTGTTTTTGCTGACTGCATAATATAGTAGGGTCAGTTGGGCACCATCTGTGAGAAAAAGAACAATGATGCAATTCAATCTGCCAGAAATTTGGAAATGGCATGCTGTACTACTTGGCATTTGTGCCAGAAGCTCCAATACAAACATTTCAGAGTGCTTGGGTGTCAATCTGAGGACAGTACAGAGGAATCGGAAAGAGTTGGATGAGTCTAATGGTGATTACAAATGTACAGCAGCTCAGAAAACTCACTCTGATTGTTCTGATAAGTAAAGAATTCTCAAATTTGTTGGTGATACAGAGGCCTACATCAAGTGCCTTGAGGAGGTAGTGCTGCCCTGGGTCAAGATGGTGGCTACAGGAAGACCCTATGTCAAGCAACAGGACTCTGCATCATGACACACAAGCAGGAGAACCCAGTCATAGCTGTCAGACAATTTCTGCAACCACATCACCCCTTACATCTGGCCACCTAATTTCCCAGACTGAAACCTTTTTGATTATTATGTGTGGGGCGCAGTTGATACCAACAAAACTCCTTGTAACATCAAGAGGAACTGAAGGCAAGGATTATGGCAGCATTCACCAACTTAAACAAGAAGAGAGTCCAGAAGAATTGCAAGAGATTCTGAAGTTGTCTAGAAGTCATGGCATAAGTCAATAATGATTTTATTGAATAAAATTTACTTTTAGTATTTTAAGAAATTTTTGTGTAATTTTGGTAAATATATCTCTTAAAATGAGATGTCAGTGTTATTTTAATTTTATGTAATCTAAACGACAATTTGTCCATTGCACCCAGTATATATATATATTTTTCATACCTTCAGTGTATAGGATGCAAGTATATTTTGACCTCAAATTTTGGGATAAAAAGTACATCTTATGCACTAAAAATATACATATTTGGTAGATTTGGCAAGTGTCATGGGAAAGATATTGAAGATTTGGCCAATGTGAGGCTAATTAGAAGCAGCTGGAAGGCAGATAAGGAAGGAGTGCATATTTGAACAGATCAACCCACAGAAAACCCCCACCAGACATAGGGACATACAGGCATAACTAAAAAGCAATGTTGTAAACACACACACACATGCACTTAATAAAAAAAAAAAAAAAAAAAATCAACTTTCCTCACCCTTCATGTAATGCTTTTTGTCTCAGTATTGTTTCTTGTTTTAAAAGTTGACATAAAGAGTAAAATTGAAGTATATTTTTGTATACATTGTTTGCTATATTGTCTCAGAATTACATTTACATATGTCTTCTGCCCTGTAGTTCTTTGTAGCATAAACTACAAAACAATACCTTGTGATTTGTTAGTGAACACGATAACTCCTTAGCCGAAGACATATCCTTAAAATTTCTTTGACCAGAGAGAATCCTTAAGGACCTCCAGGTACTATTTACACATAGACTATTGTCCTCATCTTTGTTGCTGTTGTTATTACAATGTCTTGACCGTTGTGCTTTCGGGCCTTCAACGGATATATATATATATCAACCTGGATAACCTACAGGCAAGGCTTTACATGCCCCTCAAATTCTGGTTCAGCTCCTTCACTCACTCATACACCCCAAAATGGAGCACGCTCCCCCACCTCGTTCATTCACCCAAAAATGGAGCATGCTCCCCTTCTCACTCGCTTTCATGGAAAAGGAGCCACTCCAGGTCCTGAAAAAAAAAAAAAAAAGGAGCACGCTTCTTTTCCATCAATACATTGTAATATATCAACAAATTCTCAACTGTATTTTCATCTAACTTTATTGTTCCCCATTTAATCACAAACATCTGCCTTAAAATTTATTTCTTTATTCCTATATGTGCTGATGAAAAGTGCATAGTTTTTAGAAATTTAATTTAGATAAACAATTTTTTCATGCATGCAAAAAATAAATGATTTTGGACTCACTGTGCATACTTCTTTTTTTTTTTAGAATAGTTAACAAAGAACCTTTTACAATTATAATCTATTTTTTAACTGTTGTAAGTTATATGTCATGTATTTAAAATAATGTTCCTTACAAGATAGAAAAGTGAATTATTGGCTGGCAGGGTAAGAACATTGTTGGCATTTGTTAACAGAAAACTGTTTATGTCTATATTTCTCCTTATCTCCACATAAACTTAACACATTTTGGACCAATTTGACACTTCTCCAATTTTTTTAAGTTCCATCAAAAGCAAGAAAAATTAGAAAATTTACAGTTTAAAATAGGTATCTCCAGAAACACGATTCTAAGGTTTAAAATCAATTTTTTTAAATGAAAAATCTTTCTTGAAACTTTTATTTTAGTTTTAATTTGAAGATTAAGATTAAATTTAATATTTCCAGTAAGCTAAATACTTTTTCTATATTTCAAAATCAATTTAAATTGACTGGAAGGAGTTTTTGTTAAAACTGCTAAAATCTGATTTTATCACAATATAATTCTCTTTATTAAAAAACTCTTTCAAAAATAAAATATACTTTTCTGGAACTTTATTTAAGGAAAATTACCTGATTTACAGTTTAATTAATCATATTTTAAACAAATATTACTTATTTTAAGTTTAAAATGTCACAGAAATGCATTTTTTAACATGCCAGTAGGTGTTTATTTAAAATGTTGACAGGTTGACTGACAAAAGTTTAAATAGTTCTTTTTCAACCATGGATATATCTGTAAAAATTACTTTAGGAATATTATGTGTCTTTTTTATATAATTTTTTACTACCCAGTAATCTTAAAAATTTAGGAAAAATATTCTCTGTAATCTAATGTTTTATTGAATTTTAGGTACTTCGGCATTAAATTTAAAATACAAACAAAAAAAAAAAAAAAAAATTCTTTTTAAAATATTGGGATAATTAATTTGTAATATGCTTTTCCATTTATGATTAGCTTTTTACTTAATAACAATATCATTTAACTGGTACAAATTAATACAGAATTTTAAAAGATGTAAAACTTTATAAATCATTATAATTAAAATTTTTAAAAAAATGAAAACAATTCTTGTAAAAATTCATCATTCCTTGAAAAAGTTTTTCCTGAATAAAATAGTGAATAGTATCTTATTCATAAAAGCAATTAAAAAATTTTCTAATTAAATAATGTCTTAATTTTATTGCATTTTTTATTTTGATTCAGAGCAGATTTTTTGTAACTGTTTTACAAAAACAAATGGATGATTTAAATTCTCTAGAAGTTCTGTGTATAAGTAACATAAACATTAAGTGGTACAAAAATTAATTTCTCCAAATTTCATAAAATTAAATCAGTTGGGGGTAACAGGTGTAAGAAAAAATGTTTTTATAAGATTTTAAAAAAAAAAAAAAAAAAAAAAAAAAAAGAAACATTTCTAAAATAATTTAATTCCTTTGGGAATAAGGTCTGAAATTTTCCTTTAAATCTGACAATTATTTGATTTTTGCAAGAATTTCCAAATTTATGTCTTTTACCACAAAAAAAGATGCTACAATTTCCTATATTAATATTTCATCCCCCTGTTGACACAAGAAAAACAAAATCTTTAACCAAAATTTCAACCATTCTAAAAGGAATTAAAAAAAAATATCATTTAATAATTAAAAAAAATCCCATGGTCTTTCCTCTTAATAGCATAAAAATTTTGGCAATAAAATTTTGTTTTTATTAAGTTTAGGGCAGTTTCATGCTCACTTTTTAGTGAATTTGTGTAGGTATCTTTGTTCATAGTTATTTAGTGCAAAAAAAAAAAAAAAAAAATAAACAAAGAAAAAGATATTTTAGAAACACATGTTAACTTTCATTATTAAACCATTACATGTTTTAATGTCAAACCCAAATACAAATTAAAATGTTTGCTTCCAAAAGTAAATATTTTAAAAGTAAATAAGTTTAAATAAATTGACCTCTTTTTGCATCATACTACCATTAACCCCACGCACTGCACATCTCAATCTATAAGCATGTTCGAAAATTAATAATAGTCCAAATGATTAAACGTGTTGAAGGGATAAAATCCATGTGAAAGTGTAAAATAAATATTTAAAATGTAGGTACCTCCACGAGATCACTAAAAAAAAAAAAAAAAGAGCATGATGAAAAAGATGCCAAACTTGACGAAAACAAAATTTTATCATCTAAATGTTTATGTTATTATTAAGAGGAAAGATCAAAGTATTTTGGCAGTATTTTTTTACATTTTTAATAGTTCCTAGCACATCTGAAATTTTCGTTAAAAATCTTGTTTTTTTTGAGTTGGCAAAATTGACAGATAATCAATCATGGCAACCATTTTTTTCCATTTTATAAAAAAAAATGAAAATCTCAGTTTGAAATTCTTTTAAAAATCAATTATCATTTTTTCAAAATTTATTTTAAGAAAATCAGAAATTATAATGTTTATATAAAATATTTTGAACCAAGCTTAACTTAGCTTAGCTTCTGCACCGAAAAGATGTAATTTGAAAATAAAACAAAGCAGGTCATAACCTTTCACTTCACTTGACAGGTGATGAATGACATATTGATGTGAGGATAATTTGTTCTATGGAAGGAGAAAAGTGAAATTATTTAGATTTAAGTGAACTAATTATTTACCTTTATTTAAAAATGAACAAATTATTGAAAGTTTTATTTAAAAAAAATAATTTTAAGGAAAACATTCCTTAAAAATAATTTTTAATTTTTTTTTTTTTACTTAGCTTTCACCTTTATGTTTACAATGCTTTATGGAAAATATATTAAAAAGAAATTAAAATAAGACTGTTGAGAGTGAGATTAAATTTCATAAGAAATATCTAATTAATTTATAGGTACCTTTCTTATGAAATTTTATGAGAAGTGTACATAAAATACTATAATTTTATGTACATCTATTACATTTTACCGTGTTATTTGTATTTCCTTTCATTATTAATTTTGATATTTCATTTATGGAAAAAATGTCATAACTGAGATTAATATAAAAATAAGATCATATAAATTTCATAAAATGTTACTGATACTTGTAGGTACCCTTCTCAGTTGAAATTGAAAAATCAAATTAACTTCTCCACACGTGTTATGCAAAAGTAAAGGCCTTAACAGCAGAGAACAATACTTAACTCAAATAACACAACTTAATTGTATTCTGGTTGGTCTTCCATACTTTATAATTACAGCCCGGTTATAAGCACAAAATTACATTTCTTAATTACTGCAGGTCTTCTGATTAGTCAAAATGATACAATTTACAACGCACTAAAAAAGATCTATCTCATAAGGACACTTAGGAAAGCCGATGCGGCTTTTAACTAATTTTATAATATTCTAACAACTTAAATGTAAAAATCTATTATAATTAAAGAAATAACAAATAATTGTATTAAAAATTCATTTTTCATCGAAAAAATTTTTTGCTTTCAGAAAATTTTGTCCATATTCATAAAAACAACTAAATGCAAATAAAAGTATTTGAAATTAAATAATATCTTTGTTTTATTGAGTTTTGTATGTTACAATTCAGAGCTGATTTTCACGGGGGGGGGGTCAATTAAAAACCAAAAAAAAATCATGATTTGCATTCCTCAAGGCCTTGTACTTTTAACTGTTGTAATTACTAAAGTGGACTCGATCAAATTTCTAGAGTTTTCATAAAATTAGTTATGGTTGGGGGGTAATAAATATAAAAAATTTATTTCTGCCATTCGCCAATTGCTTCCAGATTGAAAAATGCGACAGCCGCAGTCCATCAGCATTAAGAAATGATGGACACCATAGTGGATGATATCCATTCTCAGTCTCTTGAGCATTCCACAGGCCACACGGAGCCAACCACACACTGGAAGGTGCCCAACAAGCCTTCCACACAGAGAGAATACTTTTCATCACATAATGACATCGGGGGTGAAAGGAACCACGCTTCCTCGCTTCCACCACAATTTACCTTGTTCCATCGCGACCGCCAATCTTAGTACCCATGCACCATCCTCCAACCATTCTGGGTCCTTGCATTCCAGCCCTAAACTAGGCCAGATGTTGTTTAACATGGGTAGCAGGGACATCTTCATTGATATAGATGTCATCAATGTAAGCGTATGCCGCACAACCCACAGTTTCTTCCTGAGCCAGCACCATGCTAATGATCGCCTTCATGATGAGGGGGAGCCACATTTAACCAGAATCCTAAGCGTGTCAGGCAATATCTTTTCCCGTCAATTTTCATGGTCTGGTATGGCCAGAGTGATTCGTGGACATGTATTTGGAGGTAAGCTCTCCTGAGATCCAACAAAGACATGTTGGATCCCTTCTGCTGCCATTCACAGAGTTTAGCTGCACAGATGTCTGTATTGGCCGTGAAAGTGTCAATGTGATGGTTGAGCTCCCAGAAGTCCATCACTGGACGTACTTTGGACTTGTTCTGCTGTAGTATGGCCATCAGAGGAATTATCCCTTTGGGAGGCCCCAGTTTTTCTTTTGGGTACAGTATGAGCCAGCCATTGCTCATCCATGTGCGGAGCTACTGCTCATAGCCCTACCTGATTTCTGCTGCTACTGGGTACTCAGAAACCCCACTGTGCAGTCTTTCAGGTACGCGGTCCTTTGACTACTTCCATGCCGCAGTCCAGGGTTGCCTCTGATGGTCAAAGGTGGCAGTGAAGTCGGGTTCATCAACCATAATGGCTGCACACTGAGCTGCTCGCCCAGTTCCAATCTGTACTCGTCCTGTTGGCCCAACATCAACGCCTCCCAATGCTATTATGGCATCAATCCCCAATAGCTGATAAAATCCCAGTGGTTTACCATGCACCACCAACATGTTGATCTTGGCAGAACCACCTTCCTCCGTGGATATGGTTACCACTCCTACACTGCAACATGGACGGGACATGCCTCTAATAATCATAACGTCCACTGTTACTCTCTTCCAAGACTGGTACTGATCTGCATCCACAACTGTCCGTGAACAGCTAGTATCAATCAGCGCTGAATACCAAGTTCTGTCAACAAGGATGTTTGCTACCGGGAGCACTGTATTTACATCAAGGAAGACATGTTCGCGCTTGTTTCGAATTCCAAGGTAAGTCATGTCTTTCATTACATTTTGAAAAGAGAGGGGATGTCCGTATCTGTTTCCACTGCACATACATCACCTTTGGCAATGGAATAGTTGAATGATGTCATCACAGCATCAAATTGCTGCACAAAAAGAATGCTTGATAATGGAGGCCATGTATTGGCATGATCTCACAACAAAAGATAATATATCACCTCCCACCGTGTCTGCTAATAGGATTTACCACTATTGAGTCTGTGTACGAGAAGTGTGGATAACTGATGTACAAATTAGGGGACCATGTATGGGTAAAACCCCAACAAAGGCAATGTGCAACTTAATATCAAGTAGGACATGTCACTGGGATCAGTAGCCCACCTACACTCTATTCTCACTGATTGGATGCTACACCACTTAAAGAATCTGTGCCCCTTTGTTGGTCCAAACATGTTGGCAAGTGATACCAGCAGTGACTACTTAGAAAGTGAGAGACTAGTCAAAATTGGAGATGATTCAGAGCCTAGTGTAGAAGCGCCTGATGACTCTATGAGGCAACTTGTCTAGAGAAGACAGTAAATGTTACACTGAGAAGCACAACACTCAAAAGGCCTGCCCTGAGTTGTCATCTGTGTGACAGCAGGGAGTGTAGAGAATGGGGGGGGGGGAATCACTTACATCAAAAAAAGTTTATGTCTTGTGTACAGTTTGACAAAAAATAAAAATAATAAATCCTAAATAATTACTGCCTCACATAATTTTTTTTTTATCCTCCCCAACTATCGCAACCAATCAAAAATTTACCTCCTCAATAAAAGCTGTTATTTTCTTGATGAGGCGAGTGTGTACTTTCTTTGATTCATGAGCAACATTTCACTATTAGAATCTGTGAGTTAGATATTTTTTGCCCTATTTTATTATGCTTTTTGGACTTTTAATTTCTGATTTCTATTCTACTTGTCTTTCCTGTGACTTGATTTGGACTTTTTCACCTCCCTTATTGTTTTGAACGTTAACAGATTCAACAGACAAAGATATATTAAAAAAGACAGGATACTTACTTTCCGGCTGCAGTCTCGAACCGAATCGAAATCACTAAGGTCCAATTGCACGACGGACACAAGACTGGGATCAACTGCAGTCTTTTGGCGAATTTCTTCAGCAGCTGCTTCAGCCTTTTCCAAATTTCTGCAAGCCATAATCACTTTAGCCCCTAAAGAGACCAGACCGATGGCCGTCTCCTTGCCTATTCCAGAATTGGCTCCAGTAATAACAACAGTCTTACCATCCATTTTTACTGGACATTGGTAACTCAAGGGTCGAGTATGTCTATTATGACGACAAGCTAATTTTAAGAGAAGCACTCCAACGATAGCTACTGTGCTAAAGATTATGATATAAAGGAACATATTCAAATACTTTTTCAATCCTAAACTTGGAAATATTTAAAAATAAAATGGGACTGAATGCAAGAATAAAAAGAAAAAGAAAAAGAAAAAAATAGCGTTTGGTACGAATTAACACAAAGTCGTAGTAATAAATGTTGGACAAGGTGTTTCACTGCAGAAAAGATTATTTTAAAAAATCTACTAAAAACAGATTTTTAAAGGTAAAGCACTTTAAGCCGTTTTTTTTAAACATTAGAACTGCTACTACATAAAAATTAACAATTGTGAAAAAAAAATGTTTTTTGTTTATCAGTGTATATGCAGCTATTGCACTTAAAACAACCTTAGTATTATTAAAAATCAGGTGGATTTTCTAAAATACAATTATTAATCATGGTCAAGTAACAAACATGGTGAAATAAATGATCATGTACCAAGCGCGCGAACCATACAAACAAACAAAAAATACTTAACAAAAAAGAAAAGTTAGATTAAAAAAACATTAACGCATCAGATTCACAATAATCGTTTTGTCAGTTTAAATACTGATTAACGAAATTTTCCAACACATCAGAAATTAAAACTTTCTTCGCGACGGAGCTGAAAGTGAAACAAATATTTAGAGGAAGCAGTTTTGTAAAATAAAGCCATGAGAATTACCTCCCTTGCCACATTAACTCTCAGCTTTTTTATTTGTTTTTTTTTTTTCGATAAAATAAAACCCGGGAAATTCAGATTTTACGTAATAGCGATTTAGCAGATGTGGAGTATTTTCAGTACCTGTTTATATGAATAAAATAAATTATATTTTTACTGATTTTTTTTTTCTTCGCCAGAAGCCGATGGTATGACTTTTTCGTTACTTTTCCGTTACTTTTTTTTTTCTAGGTACACACTACCTGACCACAAAAAGAAAGAAAAAGCGATACCGGAGATTTAAAAAAAAAATAAACTGCATTAAAAAATCTTTCTTGGCTTTTACTACAGTTTTTACTTTAGTTTTAATTCCAAGCTTTGGTAAATTTGCTTTTACTACGATAATGCGTAGTGATTTTTTTGTGGTTTTTTTTTTTTTTTTTCAGCTGTTGTTTTTTTTTTTTTAATCTTTTATTGTCGATCAAAACAATAGGTTTTATCATCAAAATTTAATTGTTATTTCGAGCTCAGCGTGTACATTTACACGGAAATATGACGATAATAGATATTTATCGCGGGGCTTAAAAAGCAAATTTAATAATAATACTGTACTTCAAACCAAATTTAAATTGGCTGTTAAAAAATGAATTCTTCTGGTGATTGATCGAGTGTAAAATTGTAATATCAACAAATCAGATTAGGATTAGCTCGATACTGACGAACAACCTCCCTTTTCTGCTGTGTGCCACAATATAGTATTTTTTTTATTTAAATTGACTGGAATTTTTTCTTTCTTTGATTATCGTCTGCATTTCCAAATGTTTTTTCTAAAAACTTAAATAATACCACCTTGAAAAATATACACATTAATTAATTCAAAATTCATTCAGCTTGAAACTAAAATAATTAAAATATCTGTAAAATTGTTGTTTAGTGTTCGTAAATCGTAATAAAAAAAAAAGAAAACCCACATATTTATTTTTTGCAAAAATTATTAACGTACTGTTATGGAATTAACATTAATTCCATTTATAATTTTACGCGCGCGCGAGTTTCCTCCCTTTTGTTTTACACTCGTGCGTGTGTGCGCGCGTTTGACACCCCTTTCTGTCTCTTTTAGTCTAATACAGTAGTAACTGTTTTTGGTCAGCAGTCAAGACGAGCTGCTACTTCTACTTATGCAAATTAGACTTTTTGAATTTTTCCCGCGCGTTTTTCGGCGTTTCAAAACTGCTAACGTTTGCAATCCAGTTGCCTCTTAGCTGTCGACCGGACTGGATGGGCAACTCATTTATTCCGTGCCCTTAATCCATATGCGGGCCGGAATATCTTATTTTTTTCAACAATGTCGACTGCACCCTCTACCAAGACTTTTTCTCCTTTTGAAGCTGCCAACAGGTCGGACCTTTTTCTCCGTTTTCTACCAGAAGACGTTTTAGAGACACACGACACTGTCGTGAGCAAAAGTTCGTTTTCAACTAATGGCGTATTTTTATCCCTCGTCAGGGGCCTAATAAGTATAGGCAGGGATGTCCTACTGAACGAACAAATTGCTAATCACAGGTCAGGACCTTTTTCTCCGTTTTCTACCAGAAGACGTTTTTAGAGACACGCGACACTGTCGTCGGCAGAAACTTCGTGTTCAACAGGTGACTTAAACTTACCCCTGGCTTCGAACCAAATAATACAGGCAGGGATAGTATTACCTTTGAACGAAAACATTTTTCGTCTTTCTCTTTGGGCTCGCCGTAAACCATTCTACAAGACCATGCTTCGTCTCTCCCTCGGCTAGATGCCCACAGCAGTCCAGAACATTTACCAGCGGTCAATTCAATATTTACCGAACATTCTTTATAATTTTGAACCTGTACATTAAAAAAAATATGCATAATCACTTACAACTTAAAATATCCACAGTGAGTACTCCTTTCATCTGTGCGCACCTTTCTTTTTCCGGAACTGTATAAAACTTTCTTTTCCCGCCTTTGGCCATCTTGTATTTCTATTTTTTGGCGCGGAACATTTTCATTGATCCCTACCTTGAGCTAAGTTACTTGTTACTGTTTAATTAAAGTTTTGTTTATTCATGTTTTATAAACAGATGTCTTTGTCATTTTTATTTCGGCTATCTTAATACCATTTATTTATGCACTTGTTGATTGACCCCTTTCCTCTCATTGTTCATTCACGCATTTTATTTTTTTTTTTTTACTTTGCTTGTAGACTCGGTAGTTTAGTGTGGTGTCTGGCACAAGGCCACTCAGTATAATCCAGCACTGCACCCTACCGGGTCCGCAACACTGTCTGTACTTCATTTCCAAATGTATAGTTTTGAACAGACGGTTTTAAAGAGACTGGAAAAACTTTTGCATTGTTAGGTTAAAAATAAAACTATTTCTCTTAACGCAGGATGACCTTCTGTGTCATCATGGCCTGGTCCTCTAATAATCCCAACATAAATGTGCTAAGTAAAATAATGAAGAACCACATCCTTCCCAAGGTTACCTTTATAGCGGAATATGACAGAGAGAGTTTAGGAAAACACACACGTGTATATATATATATATATATATATATATATATATATATATATATATATATATATATATATTAGTGAAACTGGAATAGATTTGAATAGTGAAATTAAATCAGAGCATTTTGTTTACTGGTGTGTGTTATAAAATAAAATAAGACATATCTCGGCTGATTTACAGGCAAATACTCAAGAGCGAGTAATGCTAGACTCTGGATGCTACACTTGCATCGTACCAATATCTCAGTTACCCAGAGAAGCCAAGAAACTCATGACCCGCTCCGACGTCGTAGTAAAAGGAATCAACGGCAGCACCACCGCCCTCGGCGAACTGACTTGCGACATCACCATCGTCAGTCGAGACTCACCCACATTCAAAAAGGTTAACGTGCTGGTAACTACCCAAACTACACCAATCCTGATCGGCCAAAATATCCTACGTCACAACACGCTCGATTCCTATCTAATCGACAACCAAAATGCGACTATAGAATTCAGACGCACACTTTCCTCAGGATATACAAACACACAGCCGCAATCATATCACCGTCATCGTCAACCAACAATCCAGCATATGGCGCCCAAGCTGACATCATCCAAAACCAGCCTACTATGGAATTACAGCCCAACATCCAGACACTGGAAAAAAAAGCTAACCTGGCTAAAGCAAAACACGGGGCTATCGCTACCAAACCACCCTAACCGAGACGAACTAGAGGTCAGAAAACTTACTCATTCGCTACGCTGACATTATCGGTACAGAAAGCAGCAGCAAAGAGAACATTCATCCGACCCATCCGCATACCAACCAACGGCCAGTCTCGCAGCCAGAAACAACACCTGATAGCCCAGGCTTTGGAAGCAGATGTAGATACCGAAATTAAGCGTATGGCTGATGAAGGTATCATTGAAAACTGCAGCGACCCCAAAGGCTTCAATAGCCCTGTATTTGCCGTACGCAAGAAAAACGGATCGATTCGTGTCGTTGCTAACTTTAAAAGAACTCTCAACAAGGTCTTAGTCGATCTTGACCCTTACCCAATGCCAAGGATCGACCACTTGTTCAACAAAATCGGCAAAGGCAATAGATATTTTACTACCTTGCCGCGGCTACTGGCAAATTGAGATCGACAAGCGAGACCGATACAAAACAGCATTTATATGGAAGGACCAATGCTATCAATATACGCGCCTGGCCTTCGGCCTTACATCTGCCGGACAAATCTTCTCCCGTTGCATAGCAGAAGTCCTAGCCACGGTCACATCCCGTGACAACATTTTTTCCTATATCGACGACAACCTGGTCCACGCTAGGACATTTAGGAAGTACATACTCTCCCTCGAACAATTTTTTACTGCCCTCCGAAAATTCGGACTCAAGCTGAATCCCGATAAATATTTCTTCCTCGCATCAGTGGCAAAATTCCTCGGACGCATAGTAAACAGCGAAAGATTCAAGGCTGATCCAGAATACGTTCGTGCCATCAGGGAAATGAAACCTCCAACATCAAAAAAGGAATTACAAAGCCTTATCGGCCGTTTAGTGTGGATCAGACAATTCCTAGAGACACGTCTTCACGAACAAATCAGGTCAGATATGTTTTCAAAACTTATGAGTCCCATACACGAACTCAACAAGGTT